GGAAGATCATAGTAGACCGGTTTGGGTACGATTCTCGGGAAACTAGTATTGGATGGATGTTTTGCTTTTGAGTCTCACGATGATGCTATTTGATGTTCGTCATTCTTCGTTTTGCAGATTTTATTCCTTCGTTCTTTACTCGAGGACGAGAAAAGGTTTAAGTCTGGGGGGATTTGATAACTCCTATTTTTCTCTACATTTCCAGGGCGTTTTTATAGGATTTAGACGAGAATCACATACATTTATAGGCATTATAGGCATGTTAGGCTACGAAACTCGGTTTGGTTGTGTTTTTATAGGATTACAGGTCTCGGATGCGATTTGGAGCAAGACGGGAGCAATCTGGAGCTAAAAGGATGAAAGAGTCAAGAATTTCCCGCCTTGACTCGGCCAGAGTCAACCACGGAAATTGGGCCGAGTCAACATGCCGAAAATGGCCAAATTCAAGCCTGTTACGAAGAGACCGAGTCAGAACATCCGAGTCAGAAGACCCTGAGTCAACATGCCCGAGTCAGAAGGCTCGAGTCAAGAAGATTGGGCTGAGCCGAATTCTTAAGAGCCCCGTTTTGACTCGGTCAAGTCAGAGTACTGACTCGGTCCGAGTCAGAACCCAGAAAAAGCCCAGATTCGAATTTTCAGAGTTTGAACGGGAGTAGGACTTCGGGAGCGCCGCCTATGGTTTATAAAAAGTGCCTACAGACGTCCAAGAGGAGGGAGACAGACTTTATACAGACTTTGGAGAGCTTTGGTGAGAGAAATAAGAGTTTACGGGATTTCGGGAAGAAGAAGGAGAGTTGGAACGTGAAGATCGCATTGTTGTCGACATGAGTCTTTCTTCTCCCTCTTTTGTTTCTGTTTCCAGTTTTGCTCAGTGTTTTTCCATGAACCGTGAGTAGATCCACGGCTGTGGGTTAGGGATTCGTTTGTGTTTTGGGTATGTTTGAACCCTAACTTGGTTGCGATTTGGATTTGTTTCGGTTTTATCGATTTGCGCTTTATTCAATTGGTGTTTGCGGACCCCTAGACCAGTTGTTTTAGATTCTGAACTACATAGAAATATGGGTTTAGTTTCGGATCAAAATCGATAGAATAGATCGTATTATTCACATAGGAATATGGTTTGATCGATCTAGGGTTGTTGATAGCGTTCTTCATGCATCATAAATCACATAGGGATATGGATTTAGAGAACTTTAGATAGTGAGTTATATGTCGGGAGGTGATTTCTCTATTTTGTTGCTTGACGATTCCCAAATACAGATTCAATATCGTGATTCTCGCATGCTTAGCATATACCCATACACGCGAATACGGTCCCGACACCCACGCTCATCTTAAATTGCTAGTTTACTCGTTTTTATTGTTTTGCTTCCTTATTTTCTATTCATTCGATATACTTCCACCATCACTTTCACTTTTACTTGCTTTGATTTAGTCTCGATTAGATTTAGATTTAGCAACCTATCCTTGTGTTCGACCCCATGTTACGACGATCCGTATCCTTGCGGTGAGTTGTGAATCGGATTATAGATTTTAGACTCGGTACACACGTATCAAGCATCATTGAGCGTCCGACTTGCGTAGTACACAACATAGTGCTTTTCATCTTTCTCTTGTCCCAATATGGCTCCGACCGCAAAATCACTAGCATCACACATCAATTCAAAAGGAATACTCCAATCCGGGGGTTGGATAATCGGAGGTGATACTAGTGCCCTCTTCAATACTTCAAATGCTTTGTGGCATTCCTCATTAAACTCAAATGGGATTTCCTTGCCCAAAAGCGCAGTCAAAGGTCTCGCTATCTTCGAAAAGTCTTTGATAAATCTCCTATAAAATCCGGCGTGACCTAAGAAGCTTCGGATCCCCTTAACGTTGGTCGGTGGCGGTAGCTTCTCAATCACTTCCACTTTCGCTCTATCCACTTCTATCCCCTTGTTCGAAATTCGATGACCAAGTACAATGCCCTCTCGCACCATGAAGTGGCATTTCTCCCAATTCAAAACCAAATTCGCCTTGAGACACCTGTCTAACACTCGATGGAGATTGGTTAAACACGCATCAAAGGAGGGTCCATGGACGGAAAAGTCTTCCATGAACACCTCCATAATATCTTCAATGACATCGGAGAAAATAGCCATCATGCATCTTTGAAAAGTTGCGGGTGTATTGCATAGTCCAAATGGCATGCGTCTATATGCAAAAGTGTCGTAAGGGCATGTGAATGTTGTTTTCTCTTGGTCACTCGGATGGATAGGTATTTGGAAGAAACCGGAGTAACCATCGAGAAAACAAAAATAAGAATGCAGTGCAAGTCTTTCTAGCATTTGATCAATGAATGGAAGGGGAAAATGATCGTTACGGGTGTTTGTGTTCAGTTTTCGATAATTAATGCACATTCTCCATCCCGTAACAGTTCTAGTCGGTATAAGTTCATTGTTTTCATTTGGAACGACTGTGATTCCTCCCTTCTTAGGCACGACTTGCACCGGACTAACCCAAGAGCTATTCGATATCGGGTAAATGATATCTGCATCTAACAATTTCAAGACCTCTTTCTTGACCACTTCTTTAATGTTCGGGTTTAGCCTACGTTGATGTTCGATCGACGATTTGGTATCATCCTCTAAATGTATGCGATGCATGCAAAGAGAGGGGCTAAGACCCTTGATGTCTCCTAGAGTGTATCCTAGGACTTCCCTATATTGCCTAAGCAACTTGGTGAGTTTCTCTACTTGATCCTCATCTAATGCATCGTTAATGATAATGGGATAAGTAGAATTCAAACCAAGAAAGACATATCTTAGTCCTTGGGGTAGGGGCTTTAATTCCACTTTCGGGGCATGTTTGGGATTTCAATCAGTATGTGTATCTCCTCTTGTGATTTTAGGCGTGTCAAGGATGGCGTGGGTAGTCGAGAAGATGGCCTTAGAGTACAAATTTTTCATTCTAGTGGCAAATGGGCGGGCCGCCTCTGTTGTCGAGCGGTCGCTCGTTTTGACTGGAGAATGATCGATTTTGCTCAGACTTTTCGAGCGGGTCGTCCATTCTTGCTGGCAGCCGCCCGTTTCCACTGGTGAAGGATTGGAATTTCTCAGACTTTTCGGGCGGACTGCCTGTAATATCGAGCGGTCGCTCGTTTTCATTGAGGGCTGGTCGAAATTACTCAGAACTTTCGAGCGGGTCGCCTGAATTTCGAGGCGGTCGCTCGTTTCCTCTGAGGATGAGTCGATTTTGCTCAGAACTTTCGAGCGGGTCGTCCATTCTTGCGGGCGGTCGCGTTTTCTTATGCATATCTTCAGATTCCCGTGATTCCGAGCGGATCGCCTGGAATTCCGAGCGGACCGCCCGAAATGTTGCAGAAATTTCATTTTCGGTTTCTCGACCATCCAGTGCCAATCTTATCTCCTCAATCTCTTCCCAATTGCTATATAAACTTGCTTCTATAGCCATTACAGATACTTCCAATGGGTCTACCTCACGGAATTCTCCGATCACTTCTTCCGCCATTGCTTCAAACACTACAAAAAAAATGGTCATTTCCAACGGGCAAATCCGTTGGAAATGGCCAAATTTCCGTTGGAAATTAACGTTTCCAACGGATTTCCAACGGATAAATCTGTTGAAATTTCATCGTTGGAAATCGGTATCCCTTGAACAACCGTTGGAATTTTCAACGGAATTTCAACGAATTTTTCCGTTGGAATTTTCCAACGATTTTCAACGCAATCCGTTGGAATTTTCCAACGGCATTTCCAACGAAAAATTCAAAACATATTCTCGATCCCGACCCCGACCCCGACTACGATCCCAACCCTGACCCCGATCCCGATCCCGATCCCGAAGCTCACTTACCAGTAGGTCACCCATCCTTCCAATGCTCCAGCTCAATCCTCCTTAACCCTAGAGTTCCAATTGACCATCATCCAACTGCTCCGAGTCAAATTTCTCATATCATATAACATTAATATATATATACATATATAAATGCTTATACATATAAGTATTTATATACACACATACATATATACATATATATATATATATATATATTTGTTATATGTATGTATATGGTTAATAAAGACATATCGATATATATATATATATTTATACGCATATATATATATTTACGTATATATACATTCAAATTGATATATATATACATATATATACACATTATATTGTACATATAAAAATATATATACACAAAATATACTTGTATTTGTATATATATATATTTGTATATATATATATATATGTATACGTATAAATATATAAAATACATGTATTTAAATATATATATAT